CTTGAGCTTTAAATAACTAAGAAGGATACATGGTTATAACATTGACTCTGACCATTTACGAGCATGAAAAATGCAATATAGATATGCCTCTAGCACAGCCTTTCATGTGTTTTATTTGGCAGAATGTTGTTAGCATCCTTTTTTATTTTAAAGTGTTGTTTTTAAAATCTGTACAGCTTATTCACTGTTATCTGTCTTCTCTTGCTTCCTTTGCCACTTGCCTTCTGTGTCATTGGTTCAGAGGATCTATACCAACTAAAATTTCTTGAAGACCTGATCACTCCACAGTACTCTGACAGGAAAATTCTGAGCACTTTCTCTTTCTTTCTCTATTGTTGTTGTTTTTATTTTTCTGTTTGTCTGTTTTCTGAAATCAAGTAAGAAATAATGTGAGAATAAATATCAGGAGAATCTGTTCATATAAAATACAAACTTCTCTTGCCTGCCTAAATATTTTAAAACTACAGATCAGATCACTTAATTATAATTTTATCCTTTTGCTTGCACACCTGAGTCCTAAGCTAAAGCAGAAGTATCAGCAGACTACAGAAGAATCTGATTATGCACAGTTGTAGATCTGGCCAAACCCTGGAACAAGACCTTTTGGTCCTCTTTATTATTCATTAGAGTCCAAATCTGAATTGCTGAACAGTACTAATAGATGTCTTGCTTGTACTATTGTGTGTAACCATTTCTCATTTCTAGTAAGAAAAGAAATATCGTCAGTGTGATAAATTTCACATGTCAAACACAGCTCATATTCATGTACAAAGCTTACTGAGACTTGGCAAAGTTGTTTGCAGCTATTGTCTAATTCTGTGTAAATCATATTCCAACTTGCAGCTTCAGTTTCTCTTCAACAATGAGATTTTTTCCAAGCTTCTTTAATGCCTTACATTTACTGGGTCAGTGCATTCACATCTGAAAACAATTTCTGCTCTTTCCCATCACATGAAGACGATGTAAGATAAGAGTAACAATTTCCAGGAGAATAAATGTCTGCATTTCAAGAACCTACAGTCCCTTGTCCGGCAAATTTTGAGCAATTCCTTTGAGAAAGTATCATGGAGGGGGAGCAAGAACTGGGGACAAGAGAAGTAATGTGCAGTCTCACAAGATGAAAGACCGTGTTGTGTTGAGGTGTGGGTAGCCAGATAGCCACAGTGAGATCCAGCTACTGTAGTTCCTTGGGAGAAGACTGCCTGTGGACTCTTCTCTGTCTTCTTAAAAATACCTTCCTCCAAGCCCTGTTTGAAGTATGTTCTTCTTTTCCCCTTTCTTTGTTTACTAACTTTTCCTGCCAGGTAGGACTGTAATACTAATAGTCAGGGTCATTGCCACTCGGAAAGGTCGGAAAAAGAAACAACTCTCCAGGGTGTCACTGCGGAATGTTTTATTTATGCTGCTCTGAGTGCGTGTCATTGGTCCTCAGTCAGACATCTCAGAGTTAGTTTATGCTGGAATGTTTCTAGCCATTAAAGTAGACTCATAGGTGTCAGCAGGCCTGAACTTCACACAGAAGGTTCTTGGTATTTTATTTCTTTTTTTTGCATAGGGAAGTAAAATGCAAGTTTCAGTTCTCAAGTGGTCTTGAAATTATGGAGCTTGTGCTAGAAAATCTACGTTCCTTGTTTTTCTTCACCTGCCAAGCCCTGTTGATATTGATAAGGATTAGTTTTTTTGTTTTTTTCTTTCTGGGATGAGTTGAGTCTCCTGTTTGTCAGTTCAGAAATTCCACCAACTCAGAGGCTGAGGGGATTCTCAGAAGGCAGCTTTCCAGATGGTGTTTGCAGTACAATGCATGTAGCCATCTGACCTGAGTTTTGCCTCAATATGCTGTGTATTTGCCATGGGCTTTCTCTCTATATAATTTTCCCCAGATCAGTTTAGAGCATTTCATTTACTGAGTCAGTGGGTTTGCATATGAACAGCTGATCAATGGCTCTGGTGGGTTCTAAAGCCAGAAAGCAAGGTGCCATTGAGCCACTGTCTACCTTCCATGCTTAATTAATTTCTCAGTGATGTTTCTAGTTTCTCAATATTTTGCTGCTAGTTTAACACAGAGGGAGATGTTTGATGCATAATGTTAGGGGTATTCCACCAATAGCCCAGATTTAGATTTTTCCAAATGTGCCACTGCTCTACTTGCAGGATGCACTGTGTGTGTAGTACCATCTGCCATCATTGATGCTGTATTCTGTAAAATGAATGCCAGCCCAATTCGGAAGTCTTTACTGTGGTATCCAGCTCATCATCTGCTCTGGTTCACTTCAGCAGGTGTGAAAAGACCTGGACTGCCCTGCTGTGGAGCTTAGAAACCATGGAAATCACAGCCAAAAATGCCCATTTGGACACAGTGCCAGTCGATTCACTCAGAGCCAGTTCATTATAGTTTGCATATTGCACTTTGCCAATGAGCTGAACTCCCACATCTACTGCCAGCTACTTCTTTCCTTCAAACAGCTGACATGTGTGCAAAGGCATTCATTCCAATTCATCAATTGCTTCAGCTTTTGCTCTAGTGTTACATTTACAGCTATCAAATGCTCGCTCTTTCCTCACTTCTGACCGTGTAGATGCTGCCTGTTACTGTCTGGCAGGTCTCCAGAAGAGACAGAGGTCTGAAAGCTGCTGCCTAGTAGGAGCTTCAGGGCTTTACCTCTCAAATTTTGAACTATCAAAATGGCACAGTGAAGTTGCTCCAACTCACCTGTATTAAAAATTTCACATACTGTGTTACACAGTGGAGTTAGCATTGGAGTCCTAAAAGTACTTCACATGTGGACTCTCAGTAAGAGGAGTTGCCTTCCCTGGTATAGTTTGAGGTTTTTAAATTTCCACTGGCATTGCAAAGTTATCCAAACAAAAAGTTTAGTCCCGATCAGTTTTCTTGAAGGGAATTACTTTAGTGGATCTTGAAGGGAATTACTTTAGTGGATCTGAAAGGTATTTCAGTCATACATAAGGGAGAGCAATTTTCAATTTATTTTCAGTAGCCTCACTTCATAGGCATCGAAAATATAGAATGCTCAAAAAGTTCTCTCGTCTTGATTGTCACCTGTTAGGAGTAGCCATGCAGGTACCAAGTTTGAAGGCATCAGCCTCCTATACCATGAACATTTGTCAGCAGCCTCTTCTAGCAGCGTTGTTTCCAGTGAACCAGTTAGTGGGTATGAACTCAGCCCTCCTCAGCTACCTCCTTGGCCATCACTTTGTGTTGTGTCAGAAGGGGTTCCTGGCCATCCTGCTGGACTCTGCTTTTTCTCTCTGGTGTCTGCAAGGTGAAAATCCTCACATTTAATGGTATATTTTCCACTGTCTAACATCATGGATATAGACATGGGACTCTGTGAGTCCTTTCCCAGACTTGAGTGAGAGTGAGCTGGTAGTCAGACTTGACCAGTGTCCAGACTTGACCTGAAGTGCTGTGGTCTGGAAGGTGCCTGTGATGATTTGCCAGTCAAAACCTTACTCATCAATAATGTAACAAAATGAATTCACAGACCCAAAGTAGCATATCTGTTTGTACATTCATCAGTGCTTGGGTCACACAGTACAACAGACCCAGGAGTGATTCCAGGCAAGTGCAGTGATTTTTGGACTGGAGAGAGAGAGAAGAGCCACATCTAGATTTTTTCAATCTCTGTCATATTTTTACAGTGTAAAGTCAGTGCTTTCTTTGTAGCTTTGGAGACAGATGAACTGAAGTGTTTCCCTAAATTCAGTACTAACAATTAATATAACGTATATCCAGAATTTTGTTCCAGCCATCCCGATATTGTGAGCATAAATTAGGAATAATAGCAATGCTTCTGCCCTTTTGACCCCTAAATCTTGTTTGGCTGCCAGGACAAACTTACACTATGAGATAGGAATAGCAAGCAAAATTTAGTAGTTGCATTTTATGCTGAGAAGTGGATATGAATGTTCTGTACTATAAAGCAAGAAAGTCGGTAATTTTATCAGGTGTTCCTGTGTAAAAGCCTAATTCCTAACCTCCTGACTTTGGTGCTGGCTTTGAAGTGCTTAAAAATAGAGGGCTATTTTTTAATATGCATGGATCCTAGATACTGTGCTAGACACTTTCTTGTGTCCAAAACATCCGTCGTTAATGTAGATTTAATAAACTCGTTCTTTCAGCATTCTCACCTCTACTGGTTATGGAGATGAGACTCGGCTCTTGTATGTAATATATATATATATATATATATTTTACATATGGTCTTTATCAACAAAGGGCTATTTCCTCTTCTTCTTCCCAAGAAATTTAGAAGATTTATTAGTATATATTCATATACTATGGATTGTGGAACTAGTCTGATGTGGAAGGAATTGTTTTTCTCTTTATATAATGAGGGAGAGAAAGTCATAAAATGAGAAAACTACATAAAATAATTTTACATACAGGGATAAATGCATAAAAATGGATTCAATTACATTATCATAGCAGAAATGTTAGAAAAATGGTTCCCCAAAGTATTTTAATTAATAAGAAAAAACCCAAATTATTGCTGAACTTTAATTGGAAAGTCAGTAGAAACTTCGATAGAAAGTAAAAACTGATTTTTTATAAGGGTGTCTGGGGGATGAGGACGTGATTATTAGTGATGCCTGCTTATTGCAGCTCTTCTCCCTGTGTTTTTTGTTGTTGCTGTTGCAATATAAAGGTTTATTGCTGAAAATTTCATTAGTTTTAACTTGAATCTCTTAGGTGGTATCTTAGGGGAGTGTAGTCTTCGTATTGCAGACAACAGAGGTATGAGCTTATCCCTTTAAAATTAGACACGTATGTGAAAGCTCAACTTCACAAAAAAAGAGGCCAGTAGTTCCAATGTTCAATAGCATATACTGAGTATTACAGGCTTCCACATCTGTGGAGTTTTCTAAAAGGATTACATGAAAATGAGTGAGGGAGAATCGAATGAAAGAAGAACTGAGAATTTTGTTAACTTCCAAATAGCGTTTGTGATGGTTAATCTCATGTGTTCTGTTTCTCCTAGCTGCGAATGTCATGGCTCATCCGTGGTGTCTTGCTGGGAAATATATCCCTGGTGCTGGTCGAGAACAAGACAGGAAAGGAGCAGAGCTGGACGTTCTGGCATTCCGATAACAGCGAAGGTTTGGGAATATGGCAGCAGACGATCTTACCTCTCCCAGATATACCAGATAGGTATGGGTCTTCTCTCATTCTCCTTGTGACCAGTCATTTCATCACTAGCTACCTGGCAATGAAAACGGCCAACATAGCTCCTGGAAGCTGTTCCCTCAGGGAGAATCGCTTTGTCCCCATGAGGTATCTTCTGTTAGATGCGGGGAATGAGAATACTGAGTATTTTGAGCAAAGCACACAATTTTACAACTCCTGAATTGAAGTCTTGGTTCACAATGGGTCAGTTATTAGCCTACAGCAAGGCACTTAAATTCCTGTGTCTACATTTCAGTGACTGGAAACCATTCACTTTGCTTACTGCTCTGTGTTGCAAGTTTGATCCACTTACGTGGTTTGGTAGAGTTGGATGTGAGCTCCACAGCTGATTTTTTTTTTCTGGGTATCAAACCCTCAGCGTTCAATGGTCTAGATCTGAGGATGAAAGAGGTGGGAGGAGAACCTGCTGTAAAATCTGACAAGGATCCATCTAAACACCTTTATGTTAGCTGTAGCTATCACCTTAATAAAGAGCTGTCTCAGTTATGGCTATATTCTGTCTATAAGCATAAAGTTTATCTGGTAGCGCATGCTTAATCTGGTAGCATATGCTTATTTAGAGTGTTGGTTTAGCTGTTTCTTACAAGTCAGCTTTAAGGGAATATTCTTGTTAATTGTTTACTTTCTGTGTGTGCTCTGGCTTATACTGTTTCTAGAGAAGACACAGACATACTTCACCTCCAGCTGCCCTGGCCCTTAGGCTGCAAGATGCCTCTACAGTCTGTGTCATGAGCATTGGTGTCCTTTGTCTTTTTGGGAATCCGTGCCCTAGAAATAATGCATTTCATTAAAGCATAGTTTGCCTCTTAAGAACTTTAAACAAACATGGTATGAATATGTCTTTTATCTTACTGGCTCTTGGGGATGCACGTAGGCTGCAAATACAACAAGGGCACTGCCAATGCTTCGGTCCTGAATGTATAATTAATATGTGTGCGTCAAAGATTTAAAAAATACCAGCATTAGGCTTATTGTGCAGTCACTGCTGAAGCACCATTTGTAAAAATACCTGGTTGCTTCATTCCCTTCAGCTGTGTTTCCTTTGAAGAATGGTATATTTTGCCATTATTATTTATGTGATTTATTTTCTAATGTTGCCAGGGGAATGTTTTGTACCTGAATTATTCTGTACCCTTGTACTATTGCTTTCCTTTAAATTCTCTCTGGTTGCACAGTCGGGCAGAGAATACTTTGATCTTAGGAGCCGGGCTAGCAGTGGTTCATGTGGAATCACAGATTCAACTGATAACACATGCTGACTATTATGTATAAGATGATGCTGACACCCTTACTTCCCTGTTATTTACAGAGAAAGACAAATGAGTTCCCTGAAGGAAGGGAGTTTGTTGGAGGTTAAGACATGAGCAAGGAAAACTTTGAAGTTTTGATGCCTCTTGAAAAGTTTTTGTCCCTATTTATTCACAGAAAGTGCACTATTTTAATGAATTTTTCTTCTAAGATTGATGTAGTTGAAATCAATCCTTCCTGGGAAGAAAGAAATCTCCTGTGAGACTTGGAAATACTGCAGGCATCTTTCTCACCATCTCAAAACCTGTTTCTTAGGAAATCTGGGCCGATGTACAAATTAGGAAGGAATTCTATGGAAGTATACACCAAAACGGTACCAGTGAGATTCCAGAGTATAAATGAAGATAAATGACAGTTCTATTGAACAGTAAGAAGTACTTAATTGATGTGAACGCAATGCTGGTGCTGCTGAAGGCTTGCTGTGTCTGTCTTTTTCTAATTGGTTCCTGTCTCAGAAGCTGTGAGGGTCTGTGTTAGAAGAACCACAATATTGCAGATATTCCTACAGGAGGAGCTGAAAGTTTAAATCACCTTACAGAAATAAAGCTCTTGAATAAGGCACACCAGTGCACCAGTTTCACATGAAATTAAAGCACATTCCATTGTGTTTGGGAAGCTGAATGGAAAGTGTTATTAATAACAAGATAATATGCTCTAAAACTGCTTAAAAACATGCTTGTTTAAAAGCTGCTTAGACGTAATTTCCATGTTTGGCTTATAGCACTTCAAAGAATCATTAGGAAGACTTCCAAGAAATTAGATCAGCTCTATCTTTAGAAACAGACATTTCTTAAATGTTTGATATCCCTCAGGCTGTTGGGAGAAATTATATTTTGGCAGAAAATCACAGCTAAAACATTTCAGGTGAATTGGCAGTACCGGAAAGGAGGGAGGAGTAAGACAAAGAAGCTAAATTGGGACTGAGGAATATTAGATTTCTAGCATTGATTTCACCTGGGCAACCCTGGACTTAATTTCCAAGGGTATGATTAGGAGAGGACTGTCTTCTTTCCTTACATTTGATCCTTACGAAAGCATCCGGTTGCAGTTTCACCCTGTGTGGACTTGCAAGAAGCTGAAGTGCCTCTTGTAAGCTTGTAAGCTTGGCACTTCACATCTTCCTGGAGTTAACCTCTCCTTCCTTGTTCTGGAAGATGTTGGCAGAACAGTCTTGAGAGTCAGCTCATGTGGTGTGTGGATTAACAGAGCTGTAGCCCAGTTCCAAATTCTCAATATCTTCTGTGCACGGGGGAGGAAGGGCAAAGGGCCTGGTGAAGGACAGGTCATCAAAGCAGCTACAATTAAGGAAGCCAGTTGTGTGCAAGAGCTCCTTAAACTGTTGGATAAACAGGTTGTGCCTACCAGAGGCAAAAGTCGACATCCCCAGAGGTGCTGTATTTTAACTTGCCACTTAGACAGGCTCAGCTTGAACTAACAATCCTTGCTGTGATTCATTTAGCCCCTGTAGGGCCACCTACCCCTCTCTGAAGGACACATTATCTGCAAATCAAATAATCTTCACAGATTAGTGAAAGCTAGAGAATTGGTAATTTTTAATTACTGGAATTCACACATTAGTGCAGTATGACAATATTTGGGTTGAGAGTAGCGTAGAGAACTTCGTTATTGTAAGCTTGTTTTGTTTGATGGAGAATTACTACTTGTTTTCCAGTGAAAAGTGATGAGTCTGTCGAGGATGGTTCTTTTTTAACTTTACAGAAAGGCAAGTAGGAAACAGGCTTGGAAGCTCTGCTGTAGCTGGCAGTTTGGGCTTGCTTTTTTTATGTATTTGCTTTTAGTTAGTACGTGTGAGCCTAAATTTTAGTAATGATATAGTTTTGGGCGTGTGACATCAAGAGCAAACAGAAGCTTGATGTAATGGAAGATGGGTGATTTGTGTAGCTAATAATTAGCCATTCTAATTAAACAGTATGGTTAAGGTATATCACAAAGATAAAATACAAGCACCTACAACTCAGTGATTCTCTGGAGCTTACTGTAGGCTGATGCTCATTATCACCAACCCGCTTAGCAACTGTTTTTCTACACGGTGTGAAAGGTGGAAAAGGATTAACTCTAATAGGCTGAAGCCTGGCTGGAAAATTAATGCTTTAAGAAACAAATTTCAAATCTCTTGATTTTTGCTCCCTTGATGAATCTGAGGCCAGTTGTGTGGAGCAGCATGTCGAATAAATATTCTATGGGTACCTCTATACCACCTGGCTGAACTTGCCTGAAAGTGGACTCCACAAGAGCCAGCCCAGCCCAGCTCAGGTCTTTTAAGACCTATATTCTCTACTAAACCTATCCTGTCCTTTAAAGATTTTCCTGTAACCTCTGTGAGAGAAACCTGCTAAGAATGGCTAGTATTAATAGCAACCTGTCCAACCTCAGCAAAGTCTTATGACAGAAGAAGATTGTATAGAAATATAAAGGGAATTTAAATGTGTTTAGTGGTTAGAAAGGTTTCCTTGGTCTCCTTTCTTCTTAAATTTATTTTTTTTTTGGTATTACAAAGTCTAAGTTTGTAGGCAGTCTTAAGCAGAAGTGGCCAGGTGGGGGAAGGAGGTGTGAGAAGAGTTTACTTGAGGGCCTAAAAACTAAATTTTCAGTCATAAATAGCATCACCATTTGCCTTGTCACTGATAGCAAGGCTAGGCCCTGTGTCCTTCAAACAGGGCAGCATGTTCAGAAAGTAAAAAGCAATTTTCTCTTGGTCCCATTGTGCTCAGAGAGCTTCAAAATTATTTTCTTACTGATGACCTTCTCCTGAACACAGACTGAGGAGTTTTATTATGTTGGAAAGGGAAAATATGACTTACCTGGAAGGCTAGGTAAGGAAAAGACCTTCCTGAAGAAGAAAGCAAAAAGGTCTACAGACTTTAGTTCCCTCAGAAGGTGATATTCTGTTGCAACAAGTCAGAATTCATGTCCAAATGATTTTACTTTCTGTTTCTTTAAACTGACCTCATTACCTGTTCCAGTCTTTCTGAGTTGCTGGATTTTTACGAGCTGCACTGGTTCTCATTAGGTTTTTTGTCTATATATCGATGAGGGATTCCCTTTCAGTCCATAGGAGTGAGATCCTTTGTTCTGTCTGGCTCCTTCAGCAGCTCTGGATTAAAAGGCAGCCAAAGCAGCTGGGGACATTCTCACTCATTGCTGCAGTAAAAAGACAAGTAAAAAGAAACTGTCTCATATCATACTACTCTGCTGTTATCTCTGTCAGCTGTGGCTAAGCACTCTTTTTGTCCAATAGTTTTTCTTGCATTGCCCTGTCTGTCACACTCCTTTCACATTTTCTGTCTCATAAGTTTCTGGGCATGAGGTTTCCCAACAAGGAAGAAAAAGGAAAGGAAGGTTCTTGGCAACATTTTTCATCCAGAGGCCTGTTTATATCATGTTATTCCTAAACTTTCTTCCCATTCTTCTCTGAAGAAACAGAGACCCTCCATAACAAACTAGACATATGTCTCCCTACACATTAGTACCACATATATATTATTTGGTCACATCTACACCCAGATGTCTTTAGCTTCTCTTCTTACATCCATCCCACAAGCCTAGCCTGTGTTGCCTTGAGGTGGTCACACATTACTTTGTTAAAAACAGTGAGACTTAAACACCCATATCACTGCTTTTCTGCTCTCTAGGAT